GAAGGGGTGGCATGCCTTACAGATTGGTCTTCCCCTTCCCCAGCTAGTGAGCCCCTCCCTGGGTAGGCTTGAGGGGCGGTGGGGGGGGGAGCAGAGAAAGGCAGCAACTTTAACTTTAAATACATTATCAAAGCTTGGAGAAAGCCTTTGTATCTTTAAATACCTTCTCCAAGCCAAACCAGCTGGCAGGGAGGATGTATTTAAAGTTGCTTTCTTTCCACCCCTCCCTCCCTCCCCTATTTGCTTGCTTTCCACCTTTCTCTCTCTCGCTCGCTTTCTTCTCTCCCTCCCCATCTAAAGTTAAATCTGTTTTCCAAGCCCAGCTGGACTGGCCGGCTGGCTTGGTTCAGAGAAGGCATTTGTCTCTTTAAATCTGTTCTCCAAGCCAAGCTGGCTTGTGTGGGAACATAGGGTGGATGGGTTAGAAAACACATAAAGTTGCTTTCTTTACACTTCTCCCTCCCTCCCATTTAATAATTTTCTTTCCACCTCTCTCCCTTTGTTTCTCCCTTCCTTCCTCCGTCTATTTGCTTTCTTTCTACCTTTCACTCTTTCTCCCTTCCAGCCTTTCTCTTCATTCCTCCCCCTACCTCATCTATTTGTTTTGTTTCTCTTTCTTTCTCTCCTTTCCTTCCTCTCCCTCTTTCTCTCTCTCCCCCATATATTTGCTTTGTTTTTCTCTTTTCTTTCCACTTTCCTCCCTCTCTCCACCCTATTTGCCTTTTTGTTTCTCTCTCTCCTTTCCATCGATTTGCTTTCTTTCCACCTTTTTCTTTCTCCCTCCCTATCTGCTTTGTTTCTTTCTCTCCTCTTTCACTTTTTCATTCCACCTATTTCTCTCTCTCTTAGACAAATATCATTACATCACTATCAATATCTGTCTTTACCCCTTTTGTTTTTATTTTTGGCAGTCTCACTTAATGTTAATAAAAAGCAAATTTGCATGTTTTCCAATAAAAAGGTGTGTGTAATACTTGTTCGTGTCTTGCGGCTCTCAAACATCTGACATTTATTCTATGTGGCTATTTATTCTATGTGACCAAGTCTGGTCACCCCTGGACCAGGGGGTCCAATTCTAAAGGCCCAAGAAGGAGGTGCCCCCATCCTCTATTGTTTCCAATAGATGGGAAAATGCTTGTGAGCTGGAAGCTAAAATCCTTGAGCAACCAGCCTAAATTCTGTGCACTAGCTCCCCCTGGCACAGTTTACAGGGAACACTGCATCTTAACATTATCTTAGCCCCAAAGGGAGGAACTTGTGCCTTAAATGGTCAGGAGTTCGGTGTGTTTGTCACTGACACCGATGCACATTCTTTTTGTCATCTACTGGGCATGGAACAGGGGCTCACTGGGGGTATGTTGTCGTTCAGTTGCAGAGTCGTGTCCAACTCTTCGCAGCCCCATGGACCACAACAGGCCTGCCTGTCTTCGGCCATCCTTCAGAGTTTGCTTAAATTCATGTTCATTGCATCGATAACACTGTCCCTTTATTCTTTTACCTTCAATCTTTCCCAGCATCAGGGTCTTCTCCAGTGAGTGCTCCCTTCTCATTTGGTAGCCAAAGTATTTGAGCTTCAGCATCTGGCCTTCTAGGAAACGGGTGTGGGGAGGAGTTATTTCTGAATTTCCTGCTTTGTGCAGGGGGTTGGACTAGATGACTGTAGAAGTACTTTCCAAATCTTATGATTCTATGACCGGGCCCAACCTATCATGAAGCTAGCTCACTCTGAGTCTGGGAATCCCTCAGATGGGTTCTTAGGTAGGGAGAACCTGTGTTCATGGTTAATGGGTTGGCTACCTGATTTTGGGTCGCCATATTTGTCCCCCATCGAACCTCTGTTCACTTGCAGAACAGACTGTGCTAAGATCAGCGTAAGTACATCTGTACGCCAGTTTTGCAAGAAGCAAAGTTCAGCAACAAAAACCGCAAGGTTGTCTGGTTCAGCCATTCTGAGAAAAGTGTGGTTTCCAAACAGATAATACAATGCAGAGATGCAAGCAGTGGAAAGTTACTAACGTAAGCTCTTTGTGCGCATGTCTAAAACTGTATAACTATGCAACCCACCCTGAAAACGTGTGTGATCTCTTGCAGACTTGGGTTTCTGTAATCACCTATTTGCCTGGCAAATAAATCTTTAAACTTGTTACCTGGTTGTCTATCTGTAGCGGAACTTCAGAAAGAAAACAAACCAACATGACTTTCAGGACAACCTGCAGCTCTAAGGAATGGATTGCCTCAGTGGCTGTTGCTAGGCAACCACAGCATTCCACACTGAGTTTCTGTGAGTAAAAGGCAGGGGGAAGGGCAAGGTCCTTTTCCGGGAAGTTTTGCCCTTTCAGGGAAGACTCATGGGGGCCAGGCCTTGCCAGGGTTGCCAACTCCAGGTTGGGGAATTCCTGGAGATTTGGGGGTTGAGCCCTGGAGAGAAAAGGGCTTGGGGAAGGAGGAGCCGCAGCCGGACATTATTCATTTACTTTTGTCATTTTTAGTCTGCCATTCTCACTTGGACTCAAGGTGAGACTGGGGCCCTTGGATGACCAAGGGGTAAAAGGGCTTTTTATGTAAGAGCCATTACTTCAAATGGAGCCCCGTAACTGATGGGCAGCCAGTGGAGTGACTGTAGGATGGGAATCATCTGCACAATCTATCCAGCTCCCGATAATAGCTGAGATTTGGTGTTCTGCACCGACTGGAGTGTCTGAATTGATTTTGAGGACAGAGCAACAAAGTCTGAGTCCAGTGGCGCCTTTAGGACAAAGGGTTTTTTGGGGTGTAAGCTGTACCTCTCCAACACATCTCTTTGAAGATGCCTCCTCCACAAAGATTTAATCCTTACAACTATCTTGCAAGGTCTGTTAGCCTGAAAATGTGACTGGCTAAAAGGCATCACGAGAGGATCCAGGCCTACTATGGATCTGAACCCAGATCCACCAAGCCACAACCCGACACTCTGGATCTTGAACTTAACTGACCCACATCATCAATGAGGGCAAATTGGGTTGGGTTCACTCATGGGGATCAGATGTGGCCCCAGGTGTGAATCTCAATTGTCTGGAAGAGGATTTCTTATTTAGAACTTTCTATGCAATTGAAAAAAGACATGCCACACTAATCTTTGACACATTTAATGAAGCCCAACTCAGTAAGAAACCCCCCACAAAGCCCATTATTATAACTATTTAGCATACGGCAGAGTTACCAGGAAGCATATCATACTATAAAATACATAATCAAGTTGATACAATGGGTATGCAGACTAATTGGGCAATCCCCCTGAATACAAATCCCTAAATTTTCAGCCCACTCAGTCACAGCTGGGGAGAGTTCCAAGAGCCCACAAAGCACAGAACACACAAAGTCTAATCACCTGATACAAACAATAATACCTTTAATGAGCTCTGACTCTTCCTTATCTGAGTACTGTTTTCTCTGATCCATAAAGAAATACTTAATCTAGGGATGCCAACTGCCTAGAGGGGAAAAGTGTGCCGTCCCGTTAACAGAGGCTTCACAGGATGTCATTTATCTCTTCAGATACCCCATTTCCACACACGTTAAGACTCTGGGAATGAGGCACGATATTTTTTTCCCTTCAGGCCTGTTACCAACTCTAACGCAGAGACCTCTCCAAAATAAAGTGACGAGACAGAAAGAGAATTTTGTCAGTTGGCGCCATAATGGCCCAATCTCAATGGAGGAATTCAAGGGGGGGGCCTCTGAGGAGGAGGACGCGGGGGGAGGACGCCTTGGCTGAGGGCTCAGTCCAGGTCTTTTCCAGCTCATGGATGGGGCTTGTGTGTTCAGTGCAGGAGGAGGGAATCCTACTTCTCCCTCCTGATTCTCTCTGTGAGAATCTGGGGGTGGGGAGGATAACTTCGATTGGGGAATTCGTGCCCCACAAGGTTCACTTGCCAACACCATGGATAATGGTCCAAGTCCACAACCCTGGTTGTTGTTGTGGGGGACACGACCTTAGAAATTACTGAGTTGTTGGGTTAGGGGACACGACCTTTCCCTTTCAACCCAAATTAATCCTCCTCGCAGGATGTTTTGGGCTTCAAAGTGGTGAGACCCCCCAACAACCTCACAGCATGCTGGACTGAGGAGGGCTGAGAAATGCCTCTCTAGAACTGCTTGTCAGATAAAAATGTTTGTGAATTAAGGATACCAGCTGGTCAGACTATGGTTACACCTTTAGGAGAGAGACTACGTATCCATTACCGTCTAAACTTGTCTATTGCTTCAGGAAAGGAACTGTTTTTGCCAGTTTTGAAGATATCTGAGTAAGAATGGCAGATATCCTAAAGTAGCAAGTTTCACAGAGGAAGGGAAAAACAAAAAAGGCCTTTTTTTGTGTAACTACTTTCTCAGCCTTTATGAAATTCCAGCACCAGGGCCAGCTATAGGAAAGTTTACCCCTTGTATGCATTCTCTGAGGAACATGAAGATCAGAACTGTGCCTCAGGCTTTGGCCACACATTGAGCATTGAAAAGGTTCCTTCTCTGGGAAGAGTCCTCGGTGTTAAAGGAGAGATCAGCTGATTCTTCTTGCAGCAGAAGCCATTGCCCATCCTTGCTTTCTTCCCTGTGGGATCCTTTTGAGGTTTTGAACACGGCTAAAGCTCTTTCCACACTCTGAGTATTTATAATATTTCTTCCAGAGTAGCGTACGGTTTCAGTGTAGTTGCAAGCTTCTTACAGCATTTTTTACCATTTCAGTACTTTATATGATCTGTTATTGTCTGGTATTGTATTTCAGTACTTTATATAATCTGAGAGCCAGTTTGGTGTAGTGGTTGAGTGCGTGGACTCTAATCTGGGAGAACCGGGTTTGATTCCCCGTCCTCCACTTACACCTGCTGGATGACCTTGGACAAGCCATAGTTCTGACAAGAGCTCTCCTTGAAAAAGAGCAGTTTCTGTCAGTGCTCTTTCAGCCCCACCTACCTGAAAGGGTGTCTGTTGTGGTGAGGGAAAGGGAAAGGAGTCTGTAAGCCGCTCTGAGACTCCCTTGGGTAGTGAAGGGTGGGGTATAAATCCAATCTCTTATTATTATTATTGTCTTTTAGGTTTGAAACAGGAGAAAAGCTCTTTTCAAGACTAAGAAGTTACATTGTTTCTCCTTGTGTGGGATCCTCAATGTAGTAGAAAAGTGTCACTCTGAGTGAATCTGTTTGCACGCTTTGAGCATTCAAAAGGTTTCTCCCCTGTGTGGGTTCTCTGATGCCGCTGAAGACTGCTCCTCTCACTGAATCTATTCCCACACTCTGAGCATTCAAAAGGTTTCTCCCCTGTGTGGGTTCTCTGATGCCGCTGAAGACTGCTACTCACACTGAATCTCTTTCCACACTCTGAGCATTCATAACGTTTCTTCCCTGTGTGGGTTCTTCGATGCACTTGAAGATTGCCACTCTGACTGAATCTCTTTCCGCACTCTGAGCATTCAAAAGGTTTCTCCCCTGTGTGGGTTCTCTGATGCAGTTGAAGATTGCTACTCTGAATGAATCTCAGTCCACACTCTGAGCATTCAAAAGGTTTCTCCCCTGTGTGGGTTCTTTGGTGCTTCCGAAGACTACCACTGTCAGAGAATCTCTTTCTGCACTCTGAGCATTCAAAAGGTTTCTTCCCAGTGTGGGTTCTCTGATGCAGTTGAAGATTGCTACTCTGAATGAATCTCAGTCCACACTCTGAGCATTCAAAAGGTTTCTTCCCTGTGTGGGTTCTCTGATGCTGTAGAAGAGTGCTACTCTGACTGAATCTCTTTCCACACTCTGAGCATTCAAAAGGTTTCTCCCCTGTGTGGGTTCTCTGATGCAGTTGAAGACTGCCACTCTGACTGAATCTCTTTCCACACTC